CTCCACCATGCCCAACTAATTTTTTGTATTTTTAGTAGAGATGGGGTTTCATCATGTTGGCCAGGCAGGTCTCGAACTCCTGACCTCAGGTGATCCACCCGCCTTGGCCTCCCAAAGTGCCAGAAGACATTTTAAACAGTAGCTCCCACCCAAATATTAGATATAAACAAGGGGTTAGTGCACTGTGGTTGATCACAGTAGGGAAGAAATGGTAATGCCAGTTTCTCCATTTTAGTATTAACTAATGATAAGGGGGCCTAACATTTACATGTTTAGATAGGTATTTGACCTGTTTTCTCTTTTTACAGGAACTGGAGGTTTGTAGTAGTCCCATTTTAGTATGTAGCATTTCCCCCTTTCCCCTTCATTGATTTCAAAGAACTTAAGTCTTTAAATTTCCTTATTTATTTACATGCACTAATTTCATTCACCATGTTTCAAAGTGAGGTTAGCTTAAAAAATAGCAGTACAGAGTCAGAGAGTTGAGGAAGGGAAATGTATTTGAAGAAGATTCAGAAAAATACTTTTTTTTTTGTTTAAACACATAATACTGTTTTTTTGTTTTGAATGCAGTTTCTGTGAATGTTGTAATTGTTGATACGTATTAAATGTTTTGTTGTTGCAAGTAAGCAAATACAGGGAAGTAGTTTAGTAACGATTGTTTTCCATTAAATTATGTGTTACAAATTACAAAAATTAAAAAGGAATTCTGGTTACAGGATTAGGAGAAAAGAATGTTTTCAATGCTTGCATTCAATTTGGCATTTAAAGGCTTTCATCTTTGGGCTTAATCCATCAGAACTTGCTCTGCTAAATTTAAAGATACCTTTGAAACATTGAATTGTCAATTCCGTTTGCTTTGTCAGGAATCAAAATTAACTCTTAAGAATAATCATGAATGTTTGTCAAGAAGATATTTTGATACTTCACCTTAAAATGTTTAAAACAGGCTGGGCTCAATGGGTTATGCCTGTAATCCCAGCACTTTGGGAGGCCAGGGCTGGCGGATGACTTGGCTCAGGAGGTCCCGACTAGCCTGGCCAGCATGGCGGAAACCATCTCTATAAAACAACAACATAAATTAACTAGTTGAGGGGGTTAGAGGAGAGTGCAGGTGCTGAGGTGGGAGGATCCAATGAACTGGGAAGGTGGAGGCTGCAGTGAGCTGCACCACTGCTCTCCAGCCCAGGCAACAGTGAGACTCCGACTCAAAAAAATTGAGACAAGTACTTGCTGTCTACAGGCCACCATGCTGGGCTAATGTTTGTTTGTTTGTTTGTTTTTTTCATAGAGACAGGGTTTTGCCACATTGCCTAGGCTGGTCTTCAACTCCTGAGCCCAGGTGATCTGCCAACCTCGCCTCCCAAAGTGCTGGAATTACAGGCCTAAGCCATGGTGCCTGCCCCAAATAAAGTGTTTAAAATACGAAATAGTTACCTTTTCTGGCTTGCTAAGTCTCAGGTTTTTCCAGAGTGAATGTTTTTCACCTCCATCTTTTAATTTTGTGGACATGATTGGTTTGAAAATAGGAAGATGCCAGAGACTGTAGGAATACAGATTTTTGTTAATTGTGTGGCCTGTGTCTGTAGTCCCAGCTACTCGAGAGGCTGAGGCAGGAGGATGTGTTGAGCCTAGGAATTCGAGACTGTAGAGTGCAATTACTGTACCTGTGAATAGCCACTGCACCCTAGCCTGGGCAACAGTGTTGAGACTGTTTCAAAAAAAAAAAAAAAAAAAAACCCAAGAATACAGATTTTTAATCTGCAAACTGTGGATGAACTTCAGCTATGAAAATCCCATGCTTTATGCAAGATATGTATGAGCTGTTTTTGTCATGTCTACCCCCCCACCATAATTTCTCAAAGGAGTTGACCCTTCTGTGTTAAAAAAAAAAATTACTGTGTCAGAAGATCCTTTAATTGTGCAGGAATTATGGGGTAAATTTCTCTTATGAGTTAAATAAGATTTAGGCTCAGTAATTGATTTTTGAGTACTCCGTATGCTAATTTTGTGGGAGAAGAATAACTTGTATTTAAACATCATCACTGTGATGAAAGCTTAATCCCATGACCAATACTTTCAATTCTAAAATGAAAGATTTCAGTTCAGATTAGAATATAAGATTTCCCCAGAGTCAATGGGTGAGCAGTTAGCCGTGAGAGAATTATCAGTGCAAGCTATTGCAGTTGCTGCTGCTCTAAGATGGTGGCACTTGTAATGATTTAGCATTTCTTCCTAGTGAGAATGGTCTCAGATTGAACTGCCTAAATCTGTGGATAACTTTGGGACTGCATCGATTGCTGGAATGCAGCAGTTTTATGTGAGCTGCATATCTTTACTCTGTACTTAAGAATGATCACTATATGGAGGTCGTTCTAGTGGGATCTTGCTCTATTTTTTTGCTTCCTTTTTTGTTTTTTTGAAAAGGGGTCGGGAGACAGTGGCAATGCATGACCCTTTATTTCCTTTAATTCGAGAGGGCATTTTAAAACATAGCAGGTGGTGGTAGTGGTTGTTAAGATTGAGTCTCTCTTGCCCAGGCTAGAGTGCAAGTACAGGATGATAGTTTACTGTAACTTCGAACTCCTGGGCTCAAGTGATCTTCCTGCCTCAGCCTCCTGATTAACTAGGACTACAAGCATGTGCTGCTATGCACACCTAATTTTTAAATTTTTTGTAGGGATGGGTGGGATGTGTCAGTATGTTGCTTAGGCTGTTCTTGACAGCCTCAAGTGATCCTGGCGCCTTGATCTCTTAACATGCTGGGATTACAGGTGTAAGCCACTGCACCAGGACAGATTCTTTTAATTTTTAAGTACTTAAAAAAAAAAAACCCTGTGGGTGTGGTGGCTCATGCTTGTAATCTTGGCACTTTGGGAGGCTGAGATGGGTGGATCACAAGATCAGGAGTTCAAGACCAGCCTGGCCAACATGGTGATAACTGTCTCTACTAAAAATACAAAAAATTAGCCTGGAGTGGTGGTGTGTGCCTGTAATCCCAGTTACTCCGGTCGCTGAGGCAAGAGAATTTATTGAACCCGGGAGGTGGAGGTTGCAGTGAGCCAGGATCACGCCACTGTACTGCCTGCGCAATAGAGTGAAGACTCCATCTCAAAAAAAAAAACAAAACAGAACCCCAAAAACAAACATAGTCCCTTTACCATTAATCACACTTCAAAAAAGTTAACAGTAAATCTTTAACATAACAAAATAACAGTCAATGATCTATTTTTTTCAGGTCGTTTATATAGCTAGTTGTATTACAGTGTGGCCTTTTCCCCAGGATATTTCTCTTGTTGCTCTGAATAGGCTAGGTGGGAAGATGTAGGACCAGATGTGTAGGTTTGAGATATGTAGGTTTGAGATATGTCAGGAGAATGATTTCAGCTTAATTTCTGGATTTACCTTAATTCATAAAGTGAGAGGATTCTGTTACCTTTAATTATTTTTAGGATCTTAAATCCTTAGTGTTTTTTGTCTTTGGGATCCTTTCAGATAGGTTAATCTTTAAACTGTTCAGGAGGCAAACTTTCCAGAATCAATTTAATATCCACTACAGTTTTCTATTCTACAAAGTGAAATCCCATTTCATTTTATTTCCAATTTTGTATACAGAGTGAGTATTTTGTCTAACTACAGGACTTTTTATAATCTCACCAATATTTAGTAGTAGACATGGGATGGTAGAGAAAGTGGAAAAGGTAGAGGGAATAATAAAAACGTGAAATTTGTTTTTAGTTTGTATATTTTTCTTTTGCCTGTAGTTCAGGAAAGGCAATTATGGGAAGCAGCTATAAAACATTGCATTTGTCTTTTATTTTCATCTACCAGGGAATCTGTCTCTGCTTTTCCTTTCCTATTATCATTTTCTTGTGGGTGTTCTGGTTAATTCTGTCAGGCTATATTTTTTTCTTTCTACCTTATGAAATTCCTTTAAAGATGTAGCATGCCTAGTGTTACAAGGAAGGAAGTCTTTCACTAACCCCTTTCTGTCCATGTGAGAACCCAAGATGTAAACATCTTGGGAACAATTGATGTTTTGGACTGGATAATTCTTTGCTTGGGGAGCACTCCTATATATTCCAGGATATTTAACAGCATCCCTGGCCTCTATGCATTAGATGCCACTAGCATCCTCCACAATTATGACTGCCAAAAATGTTTTCAAATGTTATTAAGTGTTTCTTGTGGGGCATAGTGACCCTGGTTCAGAATCACTGATTTAGATCTTAAACTGTCTTAAAATACTGTGCTTTTTCTTCTAGTGATCATAGCAATTTTAAATAATTTTAATTGTTTTTACCACCAGATGATAAGCTCTATGAGGACGATGACTATATTTCCTCATTGCATTATGTCCTTGGTTCCTAGCACAGTATCTTAATGCACAGTGTATATGTGAAGTAAAGATTTCTTTCTTTCTTTTTTTTTTTCCTCTGCCTCCTCCTTCATACTGCAACCATCATCTGTCAGTTTCTTA